ATTATCTGGGCTTTTATTGTTTTATTGTTCACAAATTTCTGCATTTTTTTAGAAATCACAACGTCATGGCAACAGCCCCACCACGATCATTTCATACGTATGCCTGAAACAGCACGGCCCAGGCTGCTGCCATTTAATTACCTTCCAGTCAGCCTGAAGAGATCTGCCTCTGATGCCGTCACACTCTCGTGGGGAGAGAAGAAGGTATATCTAAGCCACTGGTTCCAGGTTACCATCAGACAAATACGGCTGAAACGTGTCTCAAGATTTTAGATAGTAGCATCGAGTTCTGAGTTTACTGTGTCATCAAGTGCCAAGAGCTGCTCCTTTGACAAGTAAGTGATCGAGTGTGAGGGCTCGCTTTGTTTGAGATATTACAAGCGAATTAGCTTCAGCTCACGAGGTTTACAGCAGTGAACAAACCCTGTCCCATTAGAATGAAAATAGTGCTCGGTGTGCATGCATTTCCCTTTAAGAGGACAATGACTCATCTCTTTCACAAGCATTGTTTTTAATATAGAGTTCTGGAGAAGATTATGGTGGTCATATAAAAGGATAGGGACTCTACACGGTTTGCTTATATTACTGTGGCACTTTGAGGACATTTTCAGTAGCTTGATACTAGTTTAACAGTAACATCATTGTGCACTGAGACATTGATATTATTCTATTGCACATACTTGTGACACTCTGTAATTATGCAGTTGAAAGTCCAGTCATCGCAGCCTCTTCTGCACAATAACACCAAACCCCACGCTGTACCTGCTGCATACCAACAAACACTTCAGTGGAGTTGTGGGAGGTGCAAACACCACTCTTTGATGTTCATCACACAGATCAATCGTACAAACAACGGTTTTTACTTCACCGCTACCACGGAGCGTCAGGTGAAGCCTTTTTCCAGCACCTCCTCCAACACGGAAGAAGTCCTCGTGTGTTCTCTGCCGCTAGAATCCAGTGCGTATGATGCATTGCTTTAAAAACACATAAAAGGTATTATAGCTTCTTTTTTTTTTACATTCATGGCCTGTACATGTGAGGCAGACGTAATATCTGAAGTAGATTTTTTCATTGTAATCTGACATATTAGACCCAAGGAAACAGGGCGACAGATAAAGGCGCTCATCAGGAAGAAGAAAAACCACCAACAGCAACAAACACAAAAGAAACTCACCTTGTGAGCAGCCTGATCGACAGTACCGAAGGGCCAGAAAGACCACAGAAGACAATACGGGACTTGAGAACAGAATTATTTCTATAGTTAAGAAAATGTTTTACATCTAACCAAGTCAGGAAGACTCTGGAGGTAACACTGTCAAGGCCTACAATCGAGATGCCTTCAGAAACAGAAATACAGCAAGTAAAAAAATAAGGTTCAAACCAATAGTTAGACCCAAGAACGGCACATAACTGCTCCGTTACTGTTCTTTATTCTTCGTTTTTTCCAGTTACTGTGGACAGATGAAACACAGGTTAACCTGAACCACAACAACAGGAGAAATATGGAGAAGGAGGGAAACAGTTTGTGCTCTGATGTGTTTATTAATGATAGAAGTAACAGGATGAATTGTGACATGCAAGGCTTTGTACTCTCTGCTGAGATTCAGACAAATGCTACAAAACTGACTGGACCCCACGTCTCAGTGCAGATGGATCCAAAACACACTGCAAAAGCAACCCGAGACATTCTCAAGCAAAGATAACCTTCAGTGTCCAAGTCAAGTCACCTGATCTCAGCCCAATAAAGATTCTATTCAAAACTGAATCCAAGGAGCTTGGAAAGAAAAGCATCTTGAAAACTCAACTTCAAGAAACCCAAAGAAGTCCAGATGCTTTCCAATGACCTGGATGATGGAGAGCCTTCACAGACACACAAAACTGAATGCAGAGAGACACACAAACAAGCAGCAACACAAACTGGCTGCAGTAAAGGCCTGGCAGAGCATCTCAAGGGAGGAAGTGATGTCTGTGTCTATGGGACTTCAGCAGTCGTTGACTGCAAAGGATTTTTGTCCAAGTATTAAATCACCGTCTTCACTGGTTCCCTCTGTTATAGTCTTCGGTCTGTCTCTCAGTGTCAAGTCTTTGTAAATTGTTTCTGGTTTCAATTCAATTCAATTCAATTTTATTTATATAGCGCCAAATCACAACATAAGTCGCCTCAAGGCGCTTCATAGATACAGAGAAAAACCCAACAATCATATGACCCCCTATGAGCAGCACTTTGGCGACAGTGGGAAGGAAAAACTCCCTTTTAACAGGAAGAAACCTCCAGCAGAACCAGGCTCAGGGAGGGGCGGGGCCATCTGCTGTGATTGGTTGGGGTGAGAGAAGGAAGACATGGCCCCTGTTTTACTTTGAAGGGCCATGTCCTATGTCAGTGTATTCAGTTTTACTTCCCCCTGTCTTGTTAGCCCTAATTTGTCCCAGCTGTGTCTCCCTCCTGTTTCCTATTCCCTGATTACGCCACTGTGTTTATAAGCCCTGTGTTTGCCTTTGCTCTCTGTGGCATTGCTAATGTGTCCTACCTGCCACATGCTGTGTGTTTGTTGCATGTTAGTCTCACAGTTTTGCTCCTTAGTTCCCATCTTCACAGTTTTAGTTTTGTGAGTTTGATTTTCAGGAGTTTTTTTCTAGCAATAAAACTGCGTTTTGAGTTTAACCTCTGGGTTTTGAGTCCTGCTCTTGGGTCCACCTTTCCGGCCTGCCTACCACACAGCCCATCATCACAGGCTGTAATTAAAGAGAATGCAAACCTTGTGTGAAAACATATTAAAACATATTAAACCTGAAAGCCTGAGAGTTGGTCACATATTAATTATTTTAGTTAAACTCCACTGTGATGCTGCACAGACCCAGATAAGAAAAAACTGTGTGGATGTGGATTTAACTGTATGAGCCAAGGATGCATTTACTCATACGCTGAGTAAGAGTCACCTGTTAATAATCGGGGCTCCAGTGTTAACTGTAAACATTAAAGTTACATGTGCGTAGGTTTACCAACAGAGAAGCCCTGGCAAGAAATAGTGAAATAAACCCCGAAGTAAGAGATGGCTAATCTAAACATTTTGATGACCATAAAGCATAAATCCATACGTCTGCTCCACAGCGTACTCAAAAGATGCAGTTTGTGTTTTTGCATTTCCAGAGGTGGACGCATGGACCTGCGTGCAGGAAGGTATGATGAGAATTAGCAGACTGTCATAGGGGTTTGATAAAAATGGTAAAGAGAGCTGAAGGTATGTTTGCTGATGTAGTTGTTGTAGGAAGTTACAAGGCTGCAGTGCAGATGGTGCTGATAACATTAGCTTTTACATTTTTAACTATTAATTATTCCTGACAGGGCTGCAGGATTAGACTGAACAGTAAGTGAGCTGTAGGGTTCAGAGTCTGTTCGGATCTTTAGGAGCCATTAGCACAGATTAAGATGTTATCATTGTCACGTTGCTTCTGTCGAGCCCAAACCCACATGCCGCCGTCTGTGCGTCGTGTATGCATCCTGTCACACAGCAGACAACAATTGGCAGCTTCATTATAAGCTTAGAGAACCATGTGATTCTTGTGCTGGACTAAGATACAGCATTTCCGGTGTTATGAACACAGCATGCAGCACACAGTTTATCAGTGCACGGTGTAATAATAATACAGTAACAATGCATCCAGTCACTGTATGCATGATGTGAAACAGGTTTATCATATGTAACAAACCCACAGAGATTTGTCTTCTCAGCTCTCCTGACTGTTTCTGCATTTTTCAGCCGATTGTTTTGGCTTTTGTGGTTTTGGGTGAGTCGTTTTGGTTTAAGTCACTCTTGTCAGCAAATATAATAAATATGCTGAATAGTCCCAGCTCAGCAACAAGCAGTGCACATTTCGAGAACCAAAACACCTGCAGCTACTACAGTTAGTAGCTTTAGATATGCACAAATAACAATTCAGTCAGGGGTTCCACAGGGATCCGTTCTTGGTCCATTACTCTTTAACCGTTACACGTTCCTGCTCAGTTCTGTCGTAACGAATCATAATGTATTCCACCATGTTGCACTTGCTGCTTCCCTCTGATGATCTAACCCTTGTTCACAAACTAATAAGCACTGATGACATTCACTGTTGGAGATCTAGAAAGTTTTCTTGAACAGAAACAAGACAGATATATTTCCTCTCTGAGGAAATATATCTCTGTCTCATCTCTGTCTCTTCTTATCTGAAATTGATTCAGAGAAACTGGCTCGTGCATTCACATCGAGCAGGTTTGACTATGTTAACGCTCCATTTGAGTCCTTAAACAAAAGTGGAAATATTAACATATTATCCGAGTACTGAACGCACTCCACTGGCTCCCAGTTCAACACAGAATTTATGAATTAGTATTCCTAATTCACAAAGCTCTCGATAGTCTGGCCCCGCAGCACATCTCTGACCTGCTCACTGTTTATAACCCGATGAGTCATCTCAGGTCATCAGGTGCAGATTTGAACTGTTCTCAGAGTCAGACCTCCGTGCTGAGGGTACTCAGGTACTGTGGTCCTGTTCTTGAAGTAAGCTGCCCGCTGACCTGAGGTCAGTTTAAAAACAGACTTTTTTATTCTCTCAGCCTTACACTTATCAACCATGTGTGTGTTTAACTTGGACTATTTCACTGTTTTCATTATCTTAAGGTACTGAAGACTTTTTAAAAATCTTTAAGCACATTTAGTTAGAAATAAAACAAAGACTATTTGTAGCTTATATCCGTGTTTGTTGGACAAAATCAGTTGTTTTTACATTTTCTACTTTTAGCCCCCTCAGCGGCTCCTAGGGCCGCACTTTGGGAGCCGCAGCTGAAGCTACTGCTGCCATAGATATTGAACTAATAACACAGTCTCGTGGGGAAAACCGTTTAAAAATAATAACAATAATGAAAAAATACCAAAACCGTGAATCACACGGCTCAGGCCTGCTGTGCGCATCGCGCTTGTTACTCAGCGTAAGTGCAGGGAGCCGCCGGCGGGCAGACGAGCAGCAGCCGCTCACTGCAGCAGCCAAGGTGCTCGTCGGACGCGCTGACGTCACCAAATCTTTGACAGCACTTCCTGGATGGTGTTTGTTGTGGGAAATAGCCGCGGAGGCGCTGAATCGTGGATTTAGGCCACATAAGCGGCAGGAAAGACGGCACCGACTGCCACGATATCGCACCTCCAGGCATGCGGACGCGGCACCTTCCAAGCAGTGTCCGATAAACGCGAAGCAGAGACGGGCTGAGGCTGAAATTAGGACGAGGTGGAAATACTGTCGGACAGCCCTCAGAGCAAAGCCCCCCGACAGCACGGAGCTGTCGCGATGTTGTAACTAGACCATGGACAGCAGGATAAAGTAAGAGCTCCGAGTGTTTGCCCTCTCTGCTGTCGTTTCTATGCTAAAGGCTAACGCGTGCTTGAATAACGCTAAACGGGAGCTGCGTGCGTAAATGCGAAGGAATGTCTGGCGTAATTTGAGCCATCATCTCCAGCAGTGGCTTTAACAGCGAGGCCAGCTGGCTGCTCAGCATTTGGGTCAGTCTGTCGGCGTGTCTGCTAGCTGACCACCAATTAGCAGCTCCGCTAGCCGAGCAGGCGGACACCGGTCGCTCGGTGCCGTGAACGAGCCGTGTCCCGTGACCTGAGCTCGATAACGTTAGAGATCAAAGAGCCCGTCTTTCTTTCAATCCAAAGCTCCGATGGCACAAGTGGGTACACCTGCATACCTGTGCACTGGAATGCGACCCAGCGGCTGTGCGCACTTTGTGCCCGAGCTTGTGGACGTAACACCTGCTTTTATTCCCCCTCAGCTCTCAGTAAACACTGTTTCATTCTTTTCAGGGAGAATCCAGAAAGAACATTTGATCTGGTTGTACAGGTGGCGTGTCCAACATCTGAAAATGAGGGTAGGTGATCTTCCATTTATAACTTTCAGCCTGTGTGCGCACAACTTATTTATAAAACTTTAATGTTGTGCGTGATTCATAGAGCTGTGATCAAATTATCAGCCTGTTAATTTCCTGTTTAACAACATAAATGAACTGCTTACTTATTTGTTCCCTTTCTGCTGAGTTAATGAAAGCCTGACGTGGCATTTCGTGGACAACTTCTAACCTTAAACCATTCAGTTTTAACACGTATCTGTACCAAAATGCCCGTGAATCTCTGGCTCATTTCTGTAAGAAAGAAGCATTTTTGGTTTCCAGCAACTGAGAGGACGAGTATGCCTTTTGATTTCCTAACTTAATAAACGCATGCAGGATGCACATGTGTACTGCTCCAATGAAGCTCAGGTATACTGCATTTTATCTGAGTGCAGTTTCCCCCAGCTCTATCACTAAGTACATAAATGGAAGTGAAAGTTTGCTTTTAGGGTCTTCCTCAATAGTCTTCTTTCACTTGCAGATTCCTTTTTTCTGACTCTGTAGCCTTTAAACTGTTCCAGTCCTGTCTGCTAATCGTTGGATCACTGCGTCTCGTGCTGACCATAAGGCCTCTTGCGAGAGTCAAATGTGCAGACTCTTGTGAAGTAACAGATACTGTGGGATGATGGAACAAGAAATTAGAGAAAGTGTGTGGGCTCACGCAAAGAGACGACCTTAGCTGGAAAATGAGAATTCATGGTCATTTCACCGACATGTGACAAAGTCATCTTGTGCTTTCTGATATAGACGTTTTTTCTCAGTTTGTAACACCAGTAATTGTAACGCAGAAAGGACGGCGTGTGTGATGGGGTAGTTTGTAAATACACTGGAGCAACAGCAGGCACCACAGGACTTCACTCCTGCATGAGTCCAGACTCGAACAATGAGGGTGCTCATTATGGTTTGGGTTTTATGTGATTCAGAGTTTAGTCTGTCAAGATCCTAAGGACGAGAGGAGGTCATGACCCGGTTTGGCTGTAAAAGTGAAACTGGGAGTAGCTGTTAGCAGCTGTAATATCGTACTGTTGGCGTCGTACAGTCTTCATTTATTTGACAGATTTGCCTGAGCACGAGTTCACCAATGTAGACACTTTTCTGGCAACCGTGACCCCGCGAGGATTGTTTGGAGAAAGATGGTGCTTGGGTCAGCAGGCTGCATTAACTGTTCGGCCCTCTGCAGCGGTCAGACATTCCTGTAGTGGGATTATCCTGGGAAACGACTGCAGCCGCTGAAGAACAACATCGGTTTCTACCTTTTTCTGAATATGGGAAATCGAGTAACCCGTGCTTCACATCCATATCCAGTGTTGCTCATAAGTCGGCTATCACTTAAGCGTATTGTAGCTACATGTTAGGCCAGCTGTCTTGGTCTGCTGCTCGGTGCTGACTTGAAAGAGGTGCTATTGGATGGTTCACGTGTGCAGCCGCCGAGCTGACCGGAGCAGACCGAAAGTTGCCCTTGGATCAAATTCTCATATTGGATTTTAAAACCAAACTCATAAACCACTAGCACGCTCTGTAATAACCGACTTCCTCTCCACATGATCTGGGGTTGGACTCATATCCGGACCCCCTGCTCTCTGGAGTGGAGCCACGGAGCTGCGTGTGCACGCCGCGGCTTCGATGAGACGTAGATGCTGTGCTGAGGTCTGGTACGACATGAGAACGGCCCCCGTTGGAGAAGTCGCCGTGACGTTAACGTGTCCTGTCTGCCAGGCGGGACTCGTGTTTGCGGTTGTTTTATGTTTCTTTTTAAAAGAAGCAGTTTCAGACGACCGTATGAGGAATGAGTCACTTCTCCTCTGATTCTCACCAATTTCCCTTTCTTTGACTTGGCTTTCGGTGAAGCGAGCGTGAAACAAAACACTTCGCAAAGGTTACAGCTGTCAGAGCGGTCTATTGTTTTACCGGCGCGTCACTATTCTATATGTATTCATGCGAGAAGCCCTGACATATGCGATTCTCCTTCCTCTGGAGCTGAATGAGTTAATGCTGTGACTCACAACAAACGGGCTCTGGCCGCGCTGTGAAACCAACATGCTCGCTCGCCACAAGCTAGAGCTGTTTTCCCTGCAACCGAGTATTAGGTACTTTGCCAAAGAGTGCCACTTCACATTCACACATAATCTTCCAACTGCCTCACATAGACACATAAACAAAAATGCAGTCATGATAGACTATAATTAAATTGTCATAGCAACATGATGTAGAACGTGCGAGCGTTTGCAGAAGTGGAGGAGGGTTTAAGTTTCCTTGTGCTGTTCTCACATCTCCTCCACAGTTTAGGGAATACAAGTTTAATTTTAGACGGATTTTTTGGCTGGATTTCACTTGTTGTGTGCACGCCCTCTTCCAGCAGTTTGGTTTCAACTCAAATGCTTTCAGGCGACTGAGGAGGAGTCTCCTTTGAGTGAGCAAAGAGCCTGTGTGAGTTTTGCTGATGCTGCATCACTGTTGTGCCACTTTTCACCACATCCTGGTCCTGCAGGTTTGAAACCAGATCCATGTGCGGCAGCGTTACCCCTGCAGTGTAAAAGCAGCATCCTTTTGTTGCTTTCGGTCATGTTTCAAAGTACAGGTAAAATTAGCTCAGACCTTTTGATAGTTGGTCAGTGTGTCGACCCTCAAACTTCCTGTGTTAACTGTGTTTCACACCTCCTGCAGTCAGCACTGTGCAAAAAGCCAACACCCACACGCTTAAAGAAAAGCTTAACCTGTCTTTAGTTGTCTCATGATGACTTTCCTCAGTGTACATTTGTGCAGAATAAACATTTATTAGTTGGCAGCTAATTATTTTTGCCCGACACAAAGGCTGACATTAGAGATCTGTGTGACGTCGTTAGTTCTGAATATAAGTAACCAGCACTGTAACAGCTTTGATGGCTCAAAGGCATCGACTTAGAAAACCTTTGTCTGAATCAGCAGTGCAGTGCACATAAAGGGTTAAACCTTAATGAATTGTGTTAATGGGACAAACCTAAGTAACCAACCTGCAACTTTTCCATTAACCAGTTCACTGAAGCCGTGTGCTGCTTCTGTTTTATGTGGTCATTTGTGGGGTTTATTCACTGTAAGCATGAATTAGGATTTGTTTAAGTGTTCCCTCCAAGAGAACCCGAACCAAATGATACCAGATTAGGTCAGCTGGTCGTTAACTCTGACTCGCCAGCATCTGACTGAGTCCATCTAACAAAGTCTCGTCTGTCAGATGCTTCCCTTCTGTGACTGCTAATAATGACTTTCACTTCCTTCCTGTTGTTATTCCTTTTAAGTTTTGAAAGATCAGTCTATTGCAGTTTCAACAACACGGGTCGGAGATCGTTACAGAAACAATAATAGCAGGTTTGACATTTCAGGGGGAAGTACTCGGACATCATCTGTCATCTGTAAACACATTTTTGTGGTGCGGGCTCTTCGTTTCTTGAACATTAATGTTGTGGACGGGCTTATTTAGGAACAACAGTGTTCTTACTAGTGCATGTATTGCTTTAGTGAAAGCCAGTAATTACATTTGACTTGTGTGTAGCTGTCATGTTTAACACACTTAACGTCTGTTTGAAGCACACCGAGATTTAGACTCCTGTTTCCATAAAGTGGGTTTGATCAATACACCAGAATTAAAGTATTGGTAATCTATAGTTAATAGCAGGGATGTCACGATACCAGAAGCTTGGGTCCAGTACCAGTACAACATACTTACCCATTCAATACCAAAACAAAATGATCATCCTGTGTACTTAAATATAAGCTCCTAAAATAAAAGCACATTGTAAAACACTGACATGCTGGCAGATCATTTATTTAAAGTGTTGACTTCATGTTATGTTGATGAGATGTTAGGACGGTTGCCATGTAGCCGGCTAATGTCGCACTGTTACGCTGTGTTAGCATAAGCGTTAATGTTGCCATTGCAAACATTTCAGCCGATGGAACAAAAGCTGGTTTCACAACAGCAGTGCCAGCTTTCTCAAATATAAATATGGTGACCTGACATTAGAAGAATAATACTTTAGATGTTATTACTGTGAAATGAACAGACTCTCAATTAAATTAATTCAATTCAATTTTATTTAGGCAGCACCAAATCACAACAACAGTCTCCTCAAGGTGCTTTATACTGTAAGGTAGACCCTACAATAATACACACAGAGAAAAACCCAACAATCATATGACCCCCTATGAGCAGCACTTTGGCGACAGTGGGAAGGAAAAACTCCCTTTTAACAGGAAGAAACCTCCAGCAGAACCAGGCTCAGGGAGGGGCGGAGCCATCTGCTGTGATTGGTTGAGGTGACTCATGGGGTGAATTCATTGAACCCATATTAATGCAGGTGTGTTATGAGCGCTGATAGATTGGAGGTATTTCAAAGCACAGTAGTGTTAGTTGCATATTACCTTTTGCAAATTGATCATCACCCCTTGGACTTCCTCAGCTGTAGTTTATGTTGTGCTGCTTGTAGTTTTTCCTGTTCTTGTGGTTCTCTGTCTGCATGTAAGGACGGACTACAACACTTGTAGTTTTACGCCACTCGCTCTGCCTCTGTGCTTATGCTGTTTATGGTACCAAAGAAGAACAAGTGTCGTTGCATTTTTAGAATTTTTGATGCCCTGAGCATTAGTTCTAGTGACATCTTTACTTAATAGTCAACTTGCCTTGTTTGCTACCAGTATGTGAGACCTCCCACACAGCTTAATCTCAAAGATGGCAGATGGCCCCGCCCCTCCCTGAGCCTGGTTCTGCCGGAGGTTTCTTCCTGTTAAAAGGGAGTTTTTCCTTCCCACTGTCGCCAAAGTGCTGCTCATAGGGGGTCATATGATTGTTGGGTTTTCTCTGTATGTATTATTGTAGGGTCTACCTTATAATATAAAGCGCCTTATGGCGACTGTTGTTGTGATTTGTTTCGGGGAAAATAAAACTGAATTGAATGAATCCAAACCTAACATATTGACTCAGAAAGGCCAAAAATACTGCACATACTGTT